ACGCTCTTTAGCAGCCCTAGGCCAGGTGTGACCTCCTGAACCCTGAACCCTAGATTAACCCCGGTACTGGGGTTTAGGGTTTAGGGGTTTAGGGTTTAGGGTTTAGGGTTTAGGGTTTAGGGTTCTCCCCGGTTTTGAGGCTGGGCGTGGGCCAAAGCCGGAATCCTAAACCCCGAACCCGAAAGCTGAAGCTTCATAAAGTGTGTTCAAGCCTGCCGGGTCCCTAAACCCTAAACCCTAAACCCCTAAACCCTAAACCCCTAAACCCTAAACCCCTCAACCCTAAACCCTAAACCCTAAACCCTAAACCCTAAACCGACCTTCGGGCTTCGGAAAAAGGAGTTCAAAAGGAGTTCAAAGGTGTTGCAGCTGCTCCTGCTGCTGCTTCTGCGACGACGACCTTCTGCTACTGCTGCTGCCGCTATTCCCAAGAAGTCAGCTGCTCCTGCTGCTTCTGCTGCTCCCGAAAAACCCAGCCAAACCCCAAACCCCGAACCCGAAACCCAAAATCCCAAACCCTAAACTCTAAAACCCTAAAGCCCCCAACCCCAAACCCTAAACCCTAAAACCCCCAAACCCCAAACCCTAAGACCCTACACCCTAAAAGTCTGGTCCCTGCTCTTTGAAAACTCAAATCTGCGCAGGCGGAAGAAGAAGGGCAGCAAGGGCAAAGCAGCGAAGAAAGGCAAAGCACGCTGACCACGTGCCGAACCCAAGGAAACTGAAGTAGGGATGTAGTGTGTGTGTGTGTATAATATATATATATATAGAAATGTATATATATATATATATGTATACATATGTATAGAGGGTTTATAGGGTTTAGGGTTTAGGGAAGTGGGGAGTTAGTATATCCATGCCAAGGGGGTAGGCCAGAGTGGTCAGCAGCCTCCGGCGAAGCCGGAGTAAGTCTCCGTAGACTTGAGGACGTCTAGCGAAGGAGCTGTTCTGGGTCACGGGGGGTCTCCAATCCATTGCCTTTCTTTTGAGATCTTGTAGTAAGGACATGGGACAGACAAACGCCCACGAACAGATATAGATATATGCATATATATATATATATATAGAGAGAGAGAGATAGATAGAGAGAGAGAGAGGGAGAGAGAGATTTGACTGACTCATAAATTAGTCCCTGAGCTTAATGCCTACGTGTCAACCGTCCTAAGCGCTGAACCCTAGACCCTAAACCCTGAACCCTAAACCCTAAACCCTGGCCCTAAACCCTAAGCCCTAAACCCTGGACTTTCAGACTGTTGGCTCAAGGCGAGCTTGCATAGTATAAAAGGCTGGGTACTTGCCAATACAAATCCTGAGCCTTTTCCGGGTGTAGGGGTCTAGGATTTAGGGCTTTGGGGTTTTAGGTGTCTAGGGGTTTAGGGTTTAGGGGTTTAGGTGTTTAGGGGCTTAGGGTTTAGGGGTTTAGGGTTTAGGGTTTAGGGGTTTAACTTATACTTGCATTATACGTAAAGCCTATTCCGGCCCCTAATGGTTTCGGCGACGTCCTCAACAGGCTTTAGACCAGCGCGACTGATGCTTGCGCTTTACAAAGAGGGCCGCCTCTGAGCGAGAAGCTTGCAGCTTAGTGTTTGGGGGTTTAGGGTTTAGGGGCCTACTCATCTCCAGAAAAATTAGGGTTTAGAGTCTTGTGCTTATCAAAATGCGTAGTATTCCTGAATTAGAAGTTGAACTATATTCCACACCAGAACCCTTGCCGTATTATGATCAGGCACTTTTTCATGGTAAGGCTCAGGACTCTGGTGCTGCTTTGAGGCTTTAGGGTTTCTGAGTTTCCCAATACCCAACCTTTAATTTTTTTGGGGGTTCTTATAACTTAGTAGTAATCTGAAAGGTTAACCTTTTTATCCCCGGATTTTTGGGAACCCTAAACCCTAAACCCTAAACCCTAAACCCTAAACCCTAAACCCTAAACCCGTTTAGGATGAGGGCAGTAGTCCTAGCCTTTCCAGGGAGCGGCGGTCGGGTGATGTGCCTCCATCTCGGAACACCCATGGGCCCCATAGTAGTTCCTTTTTTGGGATTACCTTATAGGATTCTAAATATGAACCCCCAAAAGGAACTACTATAGGGCGTATGGGTATGATCTAAACCCGAAACCCTAAACCCTGAACCCGAAGCCTCAGAACTCGAACCGTGTAAGCCCCGAACCTTAAGCCGATTTCGACTTGAAAACCCTTGCTAAGCACAGCAACACCAGACACTCTGCACCCTGTGGCCCTACAGCCCCAAGGCCCTGAGCTCTACACGGAAAATCGCATTCTGGATTCGGTGTCCTGTGCAAACCGCTCGTTGAGTGACCTCTGATGTGACGAGACTTTGAACCCCAAAAGCCAGAACCCCGCCTGAACCCTGAGCCCTACAAGCCCTAAACCCTGCTATGAACCCTAAACCGTAAAGCCTATGAGCCCTAAACCCTGTTATAAACCCTTAACCCTGCAAGAAACCCTAAGCCCTAAACCCTATAAGCCCTCAACCCTGTAAGCGCTATAAGCCCTATAAAGCCCGAACCCTATAATAAAGCCTGAACCTCGAACCCTATAAATCTCGAGGCAGGCGTCGCGACATGGAGGAACCTGATTAAACGAGGCACTCGAATCCTAGTTAACCCCAAAAGTTGAAAACCGGTTTAAGGACAAATAGTGCTGGGGTTCCCTATACATTACTCTTAAGGATTGAGGTTGTTGGGTTTCCAAAATTGGGCTTCTACTGTATGATTGACGATAATGCCCTAGCAGATATTTCAATACCATTAAAGACAGGGGAGGTGGTAGAGTAAATGCTACTGCCAATGAATGCACGACAACAATTACATTAAGGTAATAGTCGTTTGATGATTGAAGCCTTATCATACAACGGAAAGATCACGCTTCAATGTCTCCCAACTCCGGTTCTGATGTATATGAAGCGCCTATATCACAAACCGGCTTGAGCCGCTCGAGAACATCACGTAAACCCGACACCTGAAAAAGGAAACCCCACAGCTCTCGGCGAATCGCAGAACCCTAGATTCGAAACCCACAGAATAGAAGCCTGAACACTTTCCCGTTTTTTCGTGTAGAGATGAAACATACAATTGCACTCTCCTGACTAACTAGGCATTGCGAGCCCTATCGCAGCCTCGTTCGTGCATGGTGTCGCTGCGCTCACAGCTTTTCCAGGTAGCTTGATGTGCCTTGTTGGGCTAACCCTAACCCCCCAGGTACCTACTATATAGGGTACTAGAGCCCCTAGGGCCTTATATAGTAGGTACCTGGAGGGTTAGGGTAACTCATGACGGTTCATCCTAGCGCTCCGAGGAGTCTAAACCCTGAGCCCTACGCGCTGTAGGGTGTAAGGATTTGGCACGGCATATCGTTTCTTCGTGAGGATGTAGGGCTGAGCCGGGTTCATCGTGACTCAGCGGTTCAGGATGCAGAAGCATGTAGTGTTCAGGACTGTGGTATCTAGCCTACGTAGCCTCCCCAGACATCAGCAAGTATGTCTCGTCTTGTCATGGACCGGCAGTGCCTGAAATAGCGCTTGGTGCACCTTACGCTCGTATACCACAGACCCCAAACCGTACGTGCACTGTAGAGTTTCGGGGGTTTAAGATGACCTTGAACTTGATCCCCCCCCCTTAACTTCTAAAGTGAACCTATACAAATCCCAATTCCTAAGTTGTGACAAGCTCTCCTTGCGCTTCGCGGCAGCTGCTGAAGCTTGTAGGCCTGGCGTGATTCAGCCTTGTTGGTCTGTCGGGGGTTGTGGGGTTGGGTTGAGGGTTTAACTTGCTGATGCTGCTTTTGGTACGTTTAATACGAGCAGCTATCTAAAATTGCAGCGATTTTCTCTAGCAAGCTATGATGGGCTGTCGTAATGCAGGGTGGAGGTTCATGAGCCCAGGTAGTATATAAGTTTAAGCGAAAAATCATCATGATGGAACCTTGTTGGTTGGTTCCTGATGCAAATACAGCCGCCCGGTGCCGTTCGATCTTTTGTCGCTTATGTTGGCGAGACGGAAAGCACGAGCAATTTTACTCGCAAAACGGGCGCAACAACTCACCGAATGGTGGCAGAACTAAGCAAACGGATGCAACTGGTGAACTTGTTCGTTTCTTTTCTGCTGTTTCCGCCCCACGGCCGATCTGAACTCTGAAAAACTCTGAAAACTGCGTCGCCCGCCAGAAACTTTAATTGGGCGCCACCTGCATCATCACGGTTTTTCCTGTCATCTGTGTCTTGCAATGACAAAACATGCTCTGCGACTGCCCTGTGCTTCTTACAGGGCTGGAGTGTGACCTCACTGTAGTGTGTCAATTGAAAACTTCTGGACCTGCGATCCATGCAAAACAATGAGAGCCGATGCTATCCTTTGCGGTGGATGGTGAAATCATGGCCGACACTACACAAGCTCGATCATCACACGGGAACTTGCGCATGAAACACCTCGGCTTCAGGGGGAGACAACTTGAGGGTTTAATCAGGGTTTAGGATTTAGGGTTTAGGAGGTGACATCATGCACATCAGATGAGGCAATCGAGCTTAAACTTTGTTGAAAGCGAGCGTCTCTGTGCAGATCGAACGTTTCGTTTCCGAAACGGGCGCACAACCAATCGTCGTACTGACTGTCCTTCAAACCAGCAAAACACATCCTCGCGCAAGCATTCCAAGCTATCTCCCAAAAAAACCTTCGATTCCTTAGATAAGGAAATCACAGTCATAATAACTTGATAATATTAAGAATACTAGCAATAAGGATAAGAATAGTGATAACACTATACGAAGGAGCCCTATTAACAATATCTGTAATAATGATAGGGATAATCACAACACTATACTACGGAGCCCTAAGGATTAAGGTTCCTTATAGGGTTTAGGGTTTAGGGTTTAGGGCTCCCGTTCTTTGCAGCTGGCCTTATTTTTGGAGGGGGGTTTGGGCCTGGGGCGCCTTGGGCAGTCGGCCTCAGGTGTGTGATCTACAGGAAGACTTTGGGGTCTAAGGTTTAGGGGGTTTAGTGTTTAAGGGTTTAGGGTTTAAGTGGCTTAAGGGTTTAGGGTTGAAGGGTTTAGGGTTTAGTGTTTAAGGGTTAGGGTTTAAGTGGCTCAAGGGAAGAAGGGTTCATGGTTTGGGTGCACTAAGGCCTGCCAGCACTTGGATTTTAGGTCCGTAGACATGTTATAGGCGTCATCACCCCAGAAGTCCCGGCGTCATCACCCCAGAAGTCCCATGAGACCCTAAACCCTAAACCCTAAACCCTAAACCGCAGTCGGGCCAGGTACACTACAAATGCGAAGCAAGACTCGCACTTTGTGCTTTCCCTGGGATTGAGGATTGTGGCCCTAAGCCCTATTCCTTATAGGGTTCCCTCGCAGATGTGTATGTTTAGGCACCCTAAACCCTAAACCCTAAACCCTAAACCGGCACTTTCTTACAACTCTTACAGACCAGTGCCTAGAACTCTTCTAGGCCCCCCCTTTTCTGGCTCTGATAGAACTAAGGGTCTAGGGCTTAGGGCTTAGGGTGTAGGGTTTAGGGTTTAGGGTGTAGGGTTCAGGGCTTAGGGTCTAGGGCTTAGGGCTTAGGGTTTAGGGTTTAGGGCTTAGGGTCTAGGGTTTAGGGCTCAGGGTGTAGGGTTTAGGGCTTAGGGTGTAGGGTTTAGGCCTTGGGGTGTAGGGTTTAGGGCTTAGGGTGCAGGGTTTAG